ATTATTTTATTGCATATCTATAGTCATAGGTAAAATATATTTGATAGCTAAATACATTTTTTGGAATATTTTATTAGACAAATTCGTTTGTTAAATCACAACGATAGACAAAGATAAACATTTTATTAACTGTAATAATTAGTAAGTCTATTTATTTTCAGAATGTGACACGGATCTGGGATATTTCAGGTTTATCGGGCCGTGTAAAACCAATTAACTATTATATTATTGTGAACAATCTATCGCTTATTTAAAATTAGTTTACACATCAATATCCTAATTGACCCCCCCCCCCCCCCGCGGGGGATGCAAGAATTTTGGTTTTTTGTGTTTTTAGCTATGTGAAGATTACAGTCTTACGATTTTTGTATAATACATTATGTTTATATTTGTTTGTCGGTGTAGTTGAGTGGTTTATTTTACTGTATACTACTATGAAGTGTAACCAATGCCTTAAAAATATGTTATCGATTGTACGAATAAACAAACGTACAGCAGCATATTTTTCGATCATGAGGCCGCTTTTAACGATACAGGGTATCCCATCAGTATTTACTAACTGAAATATCATATTTACATGTTTACTATAATTTTATGATTACTATTATTCATTTTGTATATCGTCCAGCAAAGCAGTAGTATCAATACGAACAGAACACAAATCTGTTTGATTATGTAAAAAGGTCATTTGTGTAGAAGTTTAAATGACTTAGCCGTTCCATATTTCTAGACGAAATTTCGGGACTAAACAAATATTAATAATAATTTAAAGTCCGGCATTATCTTTTCATCGAGAAAAATCAATATCATTAAAGTACAATTGAAATAATAATAAGCGAAATAATCGATTAACACTTTTTTATTGTTTTTCTTTAAGATTTTAACAGATAAAAAACCAATTATGAATATTTATCTTTAAATTGTTTTTAAAAGACTGAAACGTGTAGGCTAGAATTCAGGAAAAGTGCAGCAAGTGTTTTCATTTGTCGATTCGATCTGCTGATCCGCTCTTGACATTCAATATAAATAATATTACGTTTAATTAAAGGTATTATTAAATCCTGGCGGGATACCCTGTATCGATTGAAGCGACACGATCTTCGATATAAACATGTTGTTGTACATTGGTTTCTTTGCACAATATCCCATAAAGTATTATTAAAACTAGTGCTAAAACACATTAAAGCAGTTCCCTGTATGAAAACTCAACATTAGCAAACAAATATCGAAAAAATATGTTTTTGTGTGTTGGTTTTGTCGTACAACTAGAAAAATTCAACTACATAATTTACACAGTTCAGTACTGCAAAAACTACAACTGCTGTGTGACTTTCAGTAAGTTTAATTAATGAGTGATTATGGAGGAATCACCAATGAATCGGAACAATACCGGACATACCATCTAATCAAAAATGTCTGTTCCAGAAATCCTATCGTCGCATCTGTTGAGAATCTAACTAATGCCGTTGCTAAATGTCACAGCGTTTTAATGAATATGATTAAATATATAATGATATACACCTCGTGGAAGCACATACTTATAACTGCTATATTCTTACCATATAAAAGTATAATTATATAATAATAATTAATATATAACATATAGTTGTTTATTTTCAATACATATTAATAGACATTTTTTTATGTATAAAATGAGTTTGATTTTAAATTTGTATTCAACCTAATTGATCGGAATAATATTCGATCACTAATGTTTTTTTTTCATAATACAACTTTACCACAGTATGACATATCGCCATTTGTTAAGAATAGTGAATCCAAAACTACACAGATACCTGCCAGAAATTAATCGATTTAACAACTAAAATTTTGAGTGTATCCGGGTATACATAGTTAATTATATAAGGCTATAACAACACCACACGCAGAGTAATAATAACATTTTAGTTGGAAAATCCAAAGGGATAGAGGACATTTATAGATCTAAAGCTATAGTACACAAACAAAATAACAGATAGTGGGCACGTCTATTGTCCACAAACAAATTTCGTTACTCGTTTACATTCATATCAATTATGTTAGGACAAATATGTCGGGAAATTCTTTTTAATAACCTCCGGAATGTTAAATATTTTGAGCTATTTCATATTATTGAATGTTTTGTTATTTCTTCATAGCAACTGACGACCCAAACAAACTAATGCATTATTCAGAAAAAAAAAACTCTATAATGATGTTATACAAAAACTGTTTTCTTTAGGAAAATTGAATTTTCAATTTTACCGTATACATTGTAAAACTTTATAGAACGCAAAGGATTCCACCAGTAACGATTTTGTTTAGTTCCAAAGAAAAGAAGATTACCATTATAGAAAAAAATTTTGAACTCAGAAACCATTAATATATTATATATATTTTTTGTTCTCTAGTTGAATACATCAATAATTGCAAAGGAAGTCATAAATTTATGCCATATAAAAAAGAAAAAAAAACGAGTGAATACGTAATGACTTTTAATTTCTCATAAAATATTAAATTAGGGTTTTCGTTATTGAGAAAAAATCAAAATGTTTATCATTCGAAGCTACACATTATATCAATTATGCATTTGAAAAAAACCATTTTGTTTGGGAATATTTACGGCCAAAATGTTACCCTTTATGGCTTGCCTAATAGCTGTTTTTCTCGACATATTTGTCCTATCATAACCGATATGAATGTAAACGAGTAACAAAATTTGTTTGTGGACAATACACATACACAGTATTGTTCCGTTTGTGTACTATAGCTTTAGATCTATAAATGTCCTCTATCCCTTTGGATTTTCCAACTAAAATGTTATTATTACTCTGCGTGTGGTGTTGTTATAGCCTTATATAATTAACTATGTATACCCGGATACACTCAAAATTTTAGTTGTTAAATCGATTAATTTCTGGCAGGTATCTGTGTAGTTTTGGATTCACTATTCTTAACAAATGGCGATATGTTATACTGTGGTAAAGTTGTATTATGAAAAAAAAACATTAGTGATCGAATATTATTCCGATCAATTAGGTTGAATATAAATTTAAAATCAAACTCATTTTATACATCAAAAAATGTCTATTAATATGTATTGAAAATAAACAACTATATATTTTTATATATTAATTATTATTATATTATTATACTTTTGTATGGAATTTCAAGTTATCATCAAAAGCTTCAAATTTTATCAAAGTATATGTTTTATCAAAAAGGTGTTTGAAAAAATCAATGGTTTGGAATTTTCACTATTATTTGCAAAAATCATAGAATGATTCTCTGTCCCTAGAAAAATTATTTCACAGTTTTTTCTTTTTTTTAATTATTTCAGCTTTAGATCTATAAAAATCCTCTTTTCTTTTGGATTTTCCTACTAAAATTATATTACTGTTCTACTTATGGTGTTGTTATAGCGCAACGTAGTTAACAATGTATACCAGGATACACATACACTCAAAATTTCAGTTATTACAGCTGTGCATAAAAACAACTTTGCCGAAATTCGTATAGCTTTTATAAAATGTTTAAGCATTATAATATATATTTTGTCGTTTTTTCAAACTGTATATTGTGTACACGAGTAAACTTTATATATTTTGTAGTTGGCATAAAAACATGTTTTTTTTTATAATTCTCACAACATACGTGCACGTTATAATTGTACTTATTTACTACACCTTTAAATTTTCAAGAGACCTCTGTACCAATGAAAAATTGTATCATATTCAATTTATTGTTTGAAACTTTTTTCAATGCTGATTTCTTAGAAAATTGTATATGTTATAGACCTACCCTTGATCTACTTCCTTGATTGGTGATTTATGATTATTAGTCTATAGCTGCTCAATGAATTGCTTAAGATTTCTGAAGTACTTAATACAGTAATATAGTCATAGCAGATGTTATTTTAGGAAAATTTCGTTACACCCAAAACGTACAGACAATACCATATGAAATTTTATCGGTTTGGACTTGTTTTCTTGCTTATCCGTAGAATGATACGTTGAGACAATACTATTAGAATGCAATTTCTACACAATCAAATTTTTGAATAATATCTAATCTCTATGTAAAAAATAGTTATTTGCTATAATTCTTGCAATATCAGGATAACCCGTATCTTGTATTTTGTACATAGTCGAAAAAAATAAGTACTGTATAATGCCCATCGCTGTTTATCAACAATTGTTAAATAAATACCTACAAAAACAATAGTTTAAAGTTTGCTGCACATTTGTACAAACAAGTAAACGTACTAAAGTATATTCGCATACTGAAAAACTTGTCCAGATTTTACTGTTTTGGTTACCAAGTTACAAGAGAATCATTTTTAAACATTTGTTTTAACATACAAGTTCACAAGAGTTCTATTATGACTTCAATGATTTCTAGTGAGAATTTAATGCATTTTTATTAAGTATTTCTAATTGTCTATGTTTTTTAATTTTGTGTTTAGATATGCGATAAACTCTTGACCACTTGATTAATTTCATTGCTAATATAGTACAGAATTTGATCACCGTTTTATTCGTGTAACGTGTCTATTGATTACAAATGGAACCGAAAATGTGCCTTATTTGACCTACTTTTTAAAAAGTTTACATTTAATATCAGCAAAAACAACTAATAAAAAAGTGCATACTTTTCAACTTTATAATTATGCAATATATATTATTGTGAAAAAAGCAAATATATTTTTTTTAGCTACATAAACATATCGGTTCAGTCGTGAAGAAGGTATTATTTTAAACGAAACCCTTCTCAGTTCAAAAAAAAAATCCATAATTACTTAACGACTTTGTCTAGTACAAAAAGCTTTATGTTTATTATTTTTTGCAGACGAAAATGAAACATTTTTGTTTTTTAATATCATTCGCCGTTGTTACTGTTTTAGCAGTTAACACAAGTAATTATTATGTATTTTATGTTTACATTAACCTACTCGAGGGAATTAAAAATCTAAAAAAAAAATACAATACTTAACTTTCTTTACAGCGGACCTTAAGATCCAGATGGCCCAAACAAGTCAGTGATTATTTCTGTATCATATAAATTTAACTTTAAGTTACGCCTACTAAACCTAAGAAGTGTAAAAAGATTTAAACAAAATATGTTATTAACATATTAAAAAAATTCATAACTGCCAACTCATACGCCTGCGTAAAATCAATTACTCTCTCTCTCACATATAATTTTTTTCTCCAAATCCATAACCTTCGTGTACTTTTTTATACCCTGTCATATCACTCCTTAAATTTCCATTTATGTCACCACCGATTACAATTGCCTTTTTGGCCGGTATGCCTTGCACTTACTCATCCGTCACTTGCCAGAATTCCACCTTCAAACTGGATCGGCTGTATAGATAAATTAAATAAAAGTGGCGAGGATGTAGCTCTTGTGAGGCGTTAGCATTTGTGTATTTAGGCTGGAAAGAGTCGATCCGATTTTAACTGAGAATTAGTGGCGTTCAGATTTAAAATATTTAAATAATAGGTATTGCGGTGTAGAGAGGTCATTTTTCATTTTGGACAGAAGACAAATACAAATAACGCTAATCCTGTTTTGTAGATTATACGCCACGTCAAATTTTTATGTTGACGAGGCAAGGCACGAGAACTCCGAGTACAGCCTTTTTCGACGATTCTGTAGCGAAACTGATAAAATATAAAACAAAAATTACCGATCGTACTAAATTGCATGAGAATGATATCCAAGCCATCGAAAATTGGGTACCAGCCATTGACAAGACTGGTGACAGTAGTTTAATACGAAAAGGCCGCAATGAAATAAAAAAACTGGCAATACGAATTCGTCAAGCTCTTCCAAATCTATTCAAACGGCAGTACGACTCCGACAGTTATGATGTATGTCGCACCGTTCCATGATTAACAAACACATATAACATAAAGAGTTGTCCAAGTTTCGTGTTACGGTAAAATAACTATGCAAGCTAAAAAAAAAAAACGTTTGATAAAACCCTGATCGAGCTTAATAACAAAACATTATAATTAATATTTTGTAAAATGTAATATTAAGAATAGCAGCAAGTATTTATCTAAAACTAGTTGTCGACCAGTCTTTTAGGTTGAACAATTAATCTCCTTATATTAGCTTTTGAAATAATATATATTTTTCAACTTGGTTATTAAATTAAAATTTTAATCGTTAAACAAACGAAGGATTTTGTTTGAAACTTATTTGAATTACTTATTATGAACTACTAAGAACTTATTATGAAACCCAAACTTTTCAATTCACAGAAAAAATTACTGTAACATGAAATTGAAATAACCTTGTAATATAATTGTACAAATATTTGAATTTTTGTTTTTTTAACCGTCTTAGGTTTTGACCACGCCGGAAACGCGGTGTGTACTTACGGGTCAAACATTTATACAAAACGTTTTTCAAGATGAAACTATCACCAATATTCCTATATGTGACCCTACGGATATTCTTCTAATGGTACGGTTGAAAATGTGCGCGATTTCCTTTACTATAAAATATGTTGGTAAATCTTTTGTAAATTGTATACAGATTGAAGATCTGAAGCAGACCGATACGAATTGTGAAGAGACAGGCACGTATGATAAGAATCAAATAATCAAATTTTGGGCAGGCAACAATATGGCTGATGTCATGCAAAGGGTTGCTGTTAAAATGGGCATAGATTCTACAGAACTTGACCCCGGTAAGCTGACTAATAACCAAAAGCAACATCGTTTTGATGTTTTTCTATATTATTATGTTTTTAACATGGATATGTTATTAGGACTGGGTACAAGAAATTTCATGTCGCCTTTTTCGTGTTACACATTCACTTTCAATTAGAGATTAGATATATAAGAGATAACCATCCGTGATTAAATGTTCTTCTGTAGAGCGGAGAAAATAACTAGGTTTTTTTTTTCTAGAGATCATAACCATCATGTACGAGGTGAGTGTCTACGAATCGTCTATTGACAAAAGTGCGATTTCGCCTTGGTACAGTGTATTCTCTCAAGAAGACCTTGAAGTAAGCAAATATAGCGGAACAGTGATTTTCAAGAACTGCTTGTATTTGATAGTTTTTTGAAATGGTTGTAGATTTTGGAGAACGCCGATGACATTTTTTGGTACTATTTAACTGGTTATGGAAACCCTTTTAACGCAAAACTCGCTTGTCCGATGGCCATACGTTTAGAAGAAAGCTTCAAGTATTATGAATTTCAATACACTTATGTATGTTACGGTGGTGCTTTTATAGTTTTTTTTCTAGGAGAATAAATTTCGTGTTGGAATATTTAAAATTAGCAAAATAGATGTATTCTAAGTTTTGAAGAGCATTTTGGCCTTATTGCAATTATGACCTTAAGTGGTTATTCCCATTAATTTCATCTATACATCTTTTCTAAAGTTAAGAAGGGTGGTGATTTCGTTTAGAATTTTTTTTAGAATTTAGTTATACTCGATAATTATGAACGGGGAAGGTTTATTCGTACGATTATAAATATCTCCAGTAAAATAGATGTAATGTATACTATAAGAATTCAAGGTAAAATGAAAAAATAAAGACCACCGTAATACATAATATTGAAATTTGTCGATGGCGAAGGTGTAATATGTATAATATGATTTCAGGAAAAAAATCAACGGAGAAGGACCAGATGGTGTATTCTACTTTGCACACAACACTAATATATTGAGTTTGTGCATCATGTTAGGCCTAGGTGACGGTGACGTTCCTCTTACGTTCTCCAATTACAAATATATGAAGGACCCTAATTGGAGAAGTTCGAGGTACGGTCCATGGGCTGCAAATTTTATGGTTGTGTTTTTGGAGGGCCCTCAGAAATATTATAAAGTATCATTTTATTTCAACGAAAAACTTACTCCTATAACGTTACATGATGGTTCGTCGTGTACAGAATGTCCATGGTTGGATATTCAACATAATTTATTGGCGTTTATAAGCGACAATGACTGTGTCAACTTTGTAGCTACAAATACCGTAAAAAACTATAAAGATACAAATCCATACTGGTATTCAAGCACGAAAACCACGTACAAATTGGTTTCCGCCAAAGAAATCATTGTACCACATCGTAAGTAATAGTACTATTCTTATTAATTAATTCTTATATATTTACTTTGACGATACAAGATAAGGTAAAAACGCTGTTTCATTATAAAAATGTTAATTAATCATCCATACCTACAAATGGGTATTATTATACAAGAGTTTTTAACATGTATATGTTTCATTTATCATTTCCTTAAATTACACTTTAATAGCTTATTAAACCTAACTTACTATGTTAATAACTTAATGAGTCTCTGTTAAATATAAAATATGTTGTTGTTTTTTAGTAGATTATAAACCCATTCAGATAGTTACTTTAAACAGACATGGTACGACATCGTCAACGCGTTATTTTACTACTAAAATGTTACCTTTGCTTGAGAATTTGAAAGAAAAAATCACCAAAAAAGCTAAAATGACCCAATTGGATATCCAAGCTATAAAGGAGTGGCGCCAAAGTAGTGAATACAAGCTAAACGATAAAGATTTGGTCCAAAAAGGTCGTGAAGAAATAAAGCAATTGGCACTGAGAGTTAGAACCGCATTCCCGGCTTTATTTGAACGGTCAAACAACTACGAGGTACATTTTACACCACTAAAAAAATTATTTACAATAGAATTGAACACAAAAACATTTTATGGAATTACAATTTTAGGCATTGTCAGTGGCAGAACCACGTTGTAAGGATACTGGAATAATATTTCTACAAACTGTTTACGGTAATACTAAGGGTATTACTGACGTTCCCATATGTAATGATGTTGACTTATTTTTAATGGTAACTATATTGAAATATAGACATTTACATTATTTTTAACTATAAACTAATGTTGATTTAGATTGAGAACATTAAAAAACCAGAGTACGAGGGAGAGTCTGAAAATCAAAAATTCAAAAACTCTGATTCTATGAAAAAAGTTGTTAAAAGAGTTAATGTTAAAATGGGGTCTGATGATATTAATTATTGTAAGTAAAAAAAAATATGTTAATGTACAATATGGAGCTGTGACTAACTTGTCTATCTATTAGATGAAGTAAGCATTATGTTTGAAGCATGTCGCTACGAAAGGTCTTTTTATGATGAATCGATCCCCCCTTGGTGTAGTGTATTCTGTCAAGAAGACTTAGAAGTAAGCATATTTGTGTAGGGTTTAATTTTAATAGTTTTGGCATTTTTTGAAAATTTTTAAATGATCATAGGTTTTGGAGTATCTTGATGAATTGCTTTGGTCCTATTCTATTGGATACTCAACGCCGTTCAACATAAAACTCGCATGTCCAATGGCCATAAGACTCCTGAAGACTTTCGAGTATTATGAATTCATTAGCTTATTATTTCTTTATTCTTGAAGACCTGAGGGCTGTGACCCCTTCCCGTCCTCACTCTGCGATGATATCACTACACTGGCTTTTTCTGTATACGTTTTAGACAGTTTAATAATTGTTTAAAGTATACATGGATCAAACCACGCTGGTTTCGTCTGTACTAATTTAAAGCTAGCCTGTGCTAAATTTTACTTTTATATTCTATTATTTATACTTCTATAAACAAATTTCCTATGCTTGATATAACTGTGCTAATTTATTAATGCAATTTTTAATTGTTTTCTAGTATTTAAAAAAAAATGCTACTAATGCTTTGCTGTCCCCTATCAGGTTTTAATCGTCTGCAAATCACAGTTCATTAATTCGTGTGGCACCAATACTAAGTTATTATCTTTGACACTACGTATTACTCTTTCCAGTGGTTTACTAATAATATTATTATGTAATATCGTAAAACGGTCTACCAATTGTATCAAATGTTTTATACCAAAAATATTCTAGTAATGGCCTAGTAATATATTTTAGGCAACATAATCTTTAATGTATGAGCTCCTTCATAGTTATACGAAACGTCTACTATTTTGGTTTTACTTAATGTACATTATTTTTATTTATTTAAAAAAAAATTATATTCTAAATTCATACCTGATAGAGTAAACCTTTTTAATTTCTATTTTAATTAATTTAACTTTATTTTAGTACTTCTAGAGAACAAGGTTGACTTAAAATATTTATGAAGTGTGAATTTCTATATTTTCCTCCTCATTTGGTGGTAGTTTCTTAACTTTTGTTTTTTCTTAGTGTATTTTCAAGCTAATCAATCCAGCCTTCTTTATGAGTGTGGTTGTATTTTGTACTACTGTTGCTTTGCTGTCCTCTATCAGGGTTAAATCGTCGGCAAAGCCCAGTTCATCAATTCGTGTGGCACCAATACTAGTCCCAAAACTAAGTTATTACAATACTAATTTATTATCTTGGACACTACGTAATACTTTTTCCAGTGGTTTGCTAATAATATTAATATGTAATATCGTAATACAGCCTACCAATTGTTTCAAATTTTTTATACCAAAAATATTCTAGTAATGGTCTACTCTGGATAATATGATATAACCATAATATTGTATTGATTGCTTTTAATGAATGTTTCCTTGTTTCGTACATAGCTATTGTAAATATATTTTTATGATTTCAGCGAAAAAATAAATAAAAAAAAAGGACCCACTGGTTCGTTTCACTTTGGCCACAGGACTAACGTTATGAGCTTACACGTCATGTTGGGGTTGGGCAAAAACGATAGTCCACTCACGTCATCAAATTTTGACGATATGAGAAATCGCAAATGGAGAAGTGCCATGTTCAGTCCGTGGGCTGCAAATTTTATGGCCGTGCTTTTCGAAAACGCTAATAAAGATTATATAGTAGCATTTTATTTCAACGAAAATATCACAAGCATAACTTTAGGAGTCGGTTCGCAGTGTACAGAATGTCCGTGGTCGGATATTGAAAAGAAATTGCAAGCATACATAAGTGACAATGACTGTGTTAATTTTACGAATGAAAATATAGCCGCAGTCATAAAAAATAAGAGCCAATCAATTCCGCTTTAATCAGTTTCTCCATTCAGTAATAATTTTACATATTTTTAAGTTGTTACAGTAGTGTATTATGTATAATATTGTTTGATTTCAGATATACAGTAAAAATTATTATTTAATTAAAAAATCTACGGTTGTGTTAATTAATTTTCTTTTGATTGACATTTACATAATTTAATCCGTCTTCTTAGTAAAGGTTTAGGTTATTCAAAAAACGATTACTTCATTCCACCTTTCCTCCTGCCCTAAAATTGAAGGCATTTTTTTTAAATTTTGAACATAATTGGAAATATGTATATTATTTAGGCAATTTTCTCGATATTTAAAGGAAAGGAATTTGTTTGGTCCAATAAAATACCTTACATCTACGATTTCTGATCTATAGACTTGCCACACGAAGAAATCACTGAACCGATTTCTGATGAAAATAATAAAAACACATAATTTTATAAAATCAATAACTTTTCAGCTTCTCATTAAAGCTAAAATAATGTAAATTTAAAATCCAGTATTATTTTCAGTAAAATTTAGGTACAAATGATACAATAATAAGCGGATCAACCGATTAAAATTGTAATTAATGTTTATTTTGTTGAAAATGTTGATAGGAAATCAAAACTAATTATGATTAAATGTCTTTAGAGTTATTAGTGTTAAAAGTGTAGGCGGGTGTCTACGAAAACAACAGCAAATACTTTTATTTATCGATTCGATCTGCTAATCCGCAATTACCGCTTTATATAAAGAGTGTTAAGTTCGATTGTTTCTATTCTTAAACTGACCATGTTGTTGTTATACGTTATTGTCATCTCCCTTTTTTTTTTGATAAAATTTATTTTGTAGCTCGATGCATGTCGCTTACGTAGTCGTCAGAATAAAATGTTATTGTACATTATTTTCTTCGCAAGACCCTAAAAGTATTATTTGAACAAGTGATAAAATATAGTCGTCAGCAATATTATACTGTACGAAACCTCAACAACATCAACCAAAAAAGTCGAAAAGAATATGTTTTTGTGCGTTGCTTTTTTTCATACAACTAGAAAATTATAATACACAACTCAGTACTGAAAATCTGCTGAGAAAATTGCGGTTAAAGAGTTTTTTCATATTATTTTACGTGTAATATTATATTATTTAAAAACTAAACGAGGGCATGTCGTTTTCTTGGTCATTAGTGTTGCTGACTGTAGTAACATGGGATTTTTTTTGGCAATACGGTGATGTGAAGTGTGTCCGTCAAAAATATGCAGAAGACAATTCAAATGGTCATTATAAAAAATTACAAAACATCGATACGGGATACACACAGGAACAATCATTAACAAGGTATGAAGCACTGAAGACATATTCAACACGGAGAGCGATTGACGAGATTTACGGAGATCTTCTGTGTAGTTATGTGTTCAACTGTTGTCATTACATGAATTTGATCAGACGACTATTGACCGCAGAAGGTAAGGATGCGTTAAAGAAACTAACAGAACAGAGCGGGACAGAATCCGTGTTTTTATTCTCACACAAGGTGGTCGAAATGTTAAACGTTTTATACAATTTTGGAAAGATCGATTCCGTGGATCCCTTATGGCTCGTGTACATGTATTCGTACAGTTTGTACGCATTAGACAAAAACGGTATATTATACGAAGAAGATAAACGATTCCGTTTATTGCTTGAGCACGATACCGTTCACGTACGACTTGCACAATTCACCGATCGACATTGTAATATTGCAGATAATAATAACGTGTATAACGATCAATACAAAAATTCAGATTATTCTAAATCTCCGGAAGACTGTGCAATTCCAATAATATCGCACGAGGTAATCACACTCTCTGTGGGCACAATCAAGGCTACAATCAACGATAGAATCTATAATATAACTGAAAGAATGAGAATCGACAGTTGTAAATCATACTTCAAATTTCATCATTTGCATTTGCTTCATTCAATTGATTTCTCTGTTTTTAGTGAATTATTGAGGAAATTTGCAGGGATTACCGACAAAGCGAAACAAAAGCATATAACCAGTTTAATAACTGATACCTGCTCCGGAAGTCATAACGTCGAATCTTTTGTGGCATTGACCAATGGCGTTGGTGAATGTCACAATATTTTCATGAACGTTATGAAATATATTATGTTATACATTTCGTGGTTACACATACGTGAAATTACTGAAGACTTACCATCTGCAAGCTCAACAAAATTTTACAAAATGGTTTGGACGCAAGATTTTGGCATCAATCGAATAAAGAAGATTAACAGGATAATGTATGACTATTTTAATGAAATTTCAAGGTTTCTAAATTTGAAAAATGATGATGAGTTACGAGTTATTGCGAAAGTCTTTGATTCATCATCCGCATCCATGTTAGCCGATGTAGAAAATAACAAAGAGCTTGAAAATACCGTTTTGGAAAAACTAATAAAAATATATTCTAATCATTTTAAACTCAGCCAAGGTAATTTTTCTAAGGAGAGGTTTACCCAAATGTATTTTAACAGAAGATTTAGTAGTCATTTGCGTTTTTTTATATATGAGATCAATGTAAAACACTTATTTAAAGCTTTTGATTTTCAAGTAATAGGTTCATTTAATAATTTTTTTAAAAACCATGGTCACTTATAATTTGTGTATTATTACATTGTGGTGATATTTTATTATTTTCAATTTGTAAATTTTAGCATGCATATTTTAACTGTATAACTGAATGCAAATTTCAAATGTTTCAATTTTTGTTAATTTTATCAAATTGCTGTAATATTTTGGAATAAATAATGTAAGTGATGTACACATTATATCACGTTATGTTAATTCTGCTTTACATTTTAATTACAGTTTTTGTTATCATAAAGATGTATTTTTGTTAATTTTGTGACTAATCTAACCTAACCTAACCTATCTTGAAATATAATATGATAACCTAATCTCTTATCAAATCAATAAATAATGTGTATTGTTGAACATTAATTTTAATGTTGATAGTGTTGAAGAAAATGATTTAAATGGCAACAGTTGTGATAAAAATAATAAGATTTAAAAGAAAGAAAAACGGAAGAAGGTAAGACAATAACATTATTGTAGTCATTAAAACGTTGACCGAGCTCATTCACAAGTATAAAACAAAAATCAGTGTCTTATAAAATATATAAATAAAATAAGTAAAATAAATTTTACTGTTTTTCTACGGATTATTAAAGACATTTGTTGTAAAATATAAAAAGCGACACGATCATCGTAAAACGTGAGTTTTACATTAGATTTCTTTGCATAACCAAAAAAATTTTATCTGAACTAGTGCTGAAATGCAGTATACTTGCGGCCGTGCGTTTGATTTTCCGTAGAACTAGAAAAATAAAAGACAATTCCATCGCCAACACACAACCCAGTACTACATAAACCACAAATGCTTTTTGGCTCCTTGTTTACTAGTATGGTCATACTATACCGGTATTACTAAATTGTTTGAAAATTAAACGAGGTCATGGTCTTGGCCATTAGTGTTGCTGATTGTAGTAACGGCGGGTTTTGGCCGTACAGCGATTCATGTGTCCGTCAAAAATATGCTAAGGGAGATGTGTTTCATTGTAGTCATATTTACATGAATTGAAGACCTCAGGGCAACAACAAGACATGTCCTTTATAAATTTTTTTTTCAAAATGTTTTTAAATCCAAAACAATTTTTTTTAGAATACTTTGAAGAATTTTTTTTTGCAATTTAAAACGTTTTGAAAAAAGGACATGTCTTGTTGTTGCCCCAAGGTCTTCAATTGGTCATATGTTGGTTAAATGTACTTAATGCCGAAGTCTTTTCCGCATTTGTAATCGAACTCCATGTTGTCGTTATGCTAAACGTTCTTTATAATTTCGGCATGATTGATTCGGTGTATAACTAGTCGGAGTCAACTATATTATCACTGTCTAATAAATACGGCCGAAGGTTTCGGGTTCGATCAAACGTGCAATTCAATTATTTTTACATTTTTTTAAAATTGTTATTTATATTTCAACGTTTAGAAACAGTTGAAGCCTCAAAAACATGAATTTAACTTGACCTATCCGCTTCTAAATGCAAAAACCCATACTATGTTCAAAATAAGAAGAGATCTCGGTAGCTATCGAAAAAGCACCGGACACTCGCACATTGCTGAACTTTTTGATTCCTCTTCCACATCTATGTTAGCCGATGTAGATAAAAACAAAGAGCTTGAAAATACCGTTTTGGAAAAACTAATAAAAATATATTCGAATCATTTGAAACTCAACCAAGGTAATTTTTCTAAAGAAACGTTTGCCAAAAAGTATTTTGACAAAAGTTATAATAGTCATATGCGTTTTTTTATATATGTGAACAGTGTAAAACACTTATTTGATGCTTTTGATTTTCAAGTAATAGGTTCATTTAATAACTTTTCTAAAAACAAGGGTCACTAATCATTTCTATATTATTACATTGTGGTGTTATTTTATTATTTTCAATTTGTAAGTTTTTGCATGCATATTTTAACTGTATAACTGAATGCAAATTTTAAATGTTTCAATTTTATCAAATTGTTAAATTTTGAAACAAATAATGTAATTGATATATACGTTATATCACGTTATTTTAATTCTGAATTATATTTTAAATACAGTTTTTTTTTATTCATAAAGATGTAATAATTTTAGATTTGTGACTTTACACATTAACTACACTCCTTTTTAATTATGATGAATAATCATCTTAGTTTACCCAAAAACTTAACACTCTTATCTTAATATATATATATATATACAATATGATAACCTAATCGTTTATCAAAACAATAAATAATGTCAAATCAGTAATGTGTACTTTTGAACATCAGTTTAAATGTCAATAGTGTTAAAGGAAATGTATTTGTCATCATAATGATGTGATTGTTTTAATTTCGTTAAACCTTACATGTTTAACCGTCCATTCTTAATTATGGCGAAAATCATCATTGTTTATCAATTAACTAAACAGTGTTATATTAATACTCTCAAAACAAAAAATTATGTTAAATAAATAAAGTGCTGTTAGATATTCATCATCCTACTTTTACTAAATCAGCTATTAACAGTGTCATGAAATTATCCTGGATCAATTTAAAAAATACATGACAATCGGAATCGCAACGAGTTAGTGTTTGTGATTTGGAATCCTCAATGATAGTTTGTCTAGAAACAACTTGAAGAAATATTTGCGGAATTGTGTAGTGATTTATAAAATAAAAGTATTTCGGCCGAGTCTGCAACCACGAAAGAGCATTTTCATGTCTCGTTGAAGTACCGGAAAAATTTAGAGTAGTGGTGGAATTATAGATAAAGAAATAGTGGCTAGCAAGCATATCAAGTTTCTGGCGTATATTTTAGATAGTGTTTTCATAATATCTGGCCTTAATCAATTCATAGAAAATATGACATGTTAAATTACATTGTTTTTTTTTTCAGTTATAGTTTGATCGTTGTGAATACAACATATCTCTTATCAGATAACAGTGTAACGCTTTTTATGTAACAATTTTTTCGATTATGTGCCAGAGCAAACCATCCTCCATATTTTCCGTTTGATACCTGTAATGTATGACATCATTGTTTTGAGACAATTATTAAAAGATTTCCCCCACTATAATGCTATTTTAAGTTGTTAAAGGTGTATATGTTAATATATATATATATATATGAAATCTGCGAAAAACACAGTTTTCCGGCAATTAAAGAAAAACTATAGTGCCGTATTTTGTCTTCGTTTTATTTATTATGGTTACATACGAGTTCAAGCTACCGACAAACTTAAAAAAATGTTTCAACTTTTATCTTTAAATAGACTATTGGTCACGATTATTGTTATTGATCAAATATTGATAAAATAATTATATTAAAACACGTTGTGCGACCTGTTAAACTTTACCGAATGACCCAAAATTTTAATACACTTATTTATTTACTGTAAAGAATATTTTTTATTGGTGGACAAAAAAAAACCTTTTTTTTTGTGCCTTCCTAACGTACAGTCTAAAAAATTAAACCTGATCGAGAGGAATTAATTTCGATTATTTTTAGAGACTGACTAATGACGTTGCTAAATGTCACAGGATTTTCATGAATATTATGCAAGATTCTGTCATCTGTGGGACAGAGAAGTACAACAGGGTAAAATATGAAGATTTCAGTAAAATTGTCAGTTTTTATAATTTAAAAGAAGTTGAAGAATTGTTTAATACTACTGAACTGTTCAAAACGCCGTCATCTGCATCAAAATTGGTCGATGTAGAAAAAGAAAAAAAAGTTGAATGCTATTAATTTCCAATAAAACGATAGTAACTTTTCTAACATTAAATTTATCAAAACATATTTTGACGGTATATGCCAATAGGAGAAAAAATACCAAATGCGACTCCAATATAAGAATATTACCTTAAAATTACTTTGTTATTTCTTTACTGTGAACTACTAATAGATATCGAACCGTGCGTATCAGTTTATGAATTTTAAAATAATACTCATAATAGAACCAATACTGTAAAGACACGTCTTAAAAATGATAAGAAGAATAATAAAAAAACATTATACTATTGTGCATTCTAACTAATTTTAAACGAATGAAAACAACAAACTTTTCGATTATGATGACGTTTTTAGTAATACAAAGTGTCTCACAAGAATTTCATATTTTTATATGTTTAAAAATTGAGATTTTTTTTTTTCAATACCACTACAAAAAACAAAACACCTTTAGTGTAAAATTACAAACTAGGAAAAGTGACAGATTGGAAATTTGTTGGTATTGAGTAGGGGTTTAAGCGGTTATTTATATAGTTAAGTGTTTTTTTAATTCTTAATACTTCTTAATTCTTTATAATTTTGTTTTTTAATATACCTTACCGCAAATATTTTTTAAGTTTTTTTCAACGAGACATGAAAATGCTCTTTCGTGGTTGCAGACTCGGCCGAAATCCTTTTATTTTATAAATCACTACACAATTCCGCTAATATTTCTTTAAGTTGTTTCTAGACAAAATATCATTGAGGGTTCCAAATCACAAACACTAGCTCGTTGCGATTCCGAAAGTCATGTATTTTTTGATTTGGATCCAGGATAAAACTAGTTAACAGAAGTCAAATAGCAGTTATGGTTTTTGAAGACTGAGTTGTGAATTTTCGAAAAAAATGTATTTTATTTTTCTAATTCTATGGAAACCAGTGTACTGCTTTAATGTATTTTTGCATAAGCTAACATAATATTGTATGTGCTACGCAAAGAAATCTAATGTATAACAACATATTCTTCTATTATGATGACGCTTTCATTAATACAGGGTATTCTACCAGAATTTAATACATGAAATATCTTATAAAATAGAATTTGTTTTCGTCAATACCACTATGAAAAACATAGCATTATTGTAAAATTACAACCAAGGGAAAGAGACACAGTGAAAATGTGTTGGTATGAAGTAGGTTACTATCAAGTAGGTAGTATTAATGGAGTGAGTGATATCTCTACAGGACCGGAGCTTTGGTAACAGTCCTATCGGATGTTGACCGATATAAGCTGGCAATAACAGCGATTCAAGAAGTGAGATGGACGGGTACATGAAACATTAAAACAGAAAAACAAGTCCCCACCCTTATTGTACTGACTTATTGCTTTATGCATATTAAGAAATTAATACAACATATCATATGACGTTTTTAGTAATACAGTGTCTCACAAGAATTTCATATTTTTATATGTTTTAAAATTGAGATTTTTTTTTCAATACCGCTACAAAAAACAAAACACCTTTAGTGTAAAATTACAAACTAGGGAAAGTGACAGATTGGAAATTTGTTGGTATTGAGTAGGGGTTAAAGCGGTTATTTATATAGTTAAGTGTTTTTTCAATTCTTAATACTTCTTAATTCTTTATAATTTTGTTTTTTACTATACCTTTCCGCTAATATTTCTTTAAGTTGTTTCTAGACAAAATATCATTGAGGGTTCCAAATCACAAACACTAGCTCGTTGCGATTCCGATTGTCATATTGTCCGATTGTTTTTTGATTTGGATCCATGATAATTTCATGACAATATTAATAGCTGATTTAGTAAAAATAGGACGATAAATAAATAGTTATTAGAAATGACAACCAGTTAAAACAATAGCTAAAAGCACTTTATTTATTTGACATAATTTTTTGTTTTGATGATATTAAAATAAAACAGTTTTTGGGTAAACAATGATAATTTTTCACAATAATTAAAAATGGGTTGTGTTAACATGAGAGGTCACAAAATTATAACTACATAACGTGATAAAACGTACATATCACTTACATTATTTCTTATACAATTTAACATTTTGATAAAATTAACAGAAATATAAATTTAAAAATAACATTATACAATTAATTATACGAATAGACCTTTGTTTTTAGAAAAACGATTAAAAGAACCTATTACTTGAAAATCAGTAGCAATAAATGTACGTTGTACAAATCTACTAAATGTGAAAAAACTTAATTGACTCTCAAGTACCTCATAAGATTTATTTAAATTAACATCACCTGTATCCCAAAAGGAATTCTTAGATTCTAACATCGTATACCTATCGTCAAAATACTTTTGGGTGAACTTGTCAGTAGAAATGTTGTCGTCGCCAAGTTTAAAATACTTCGAATTTATTTTTATTAGTTTTTCCAAAACAGTATTTTCGAGCTCTTTATTTTTTTCTACATCGGCTAAATCGGCTAACATGAATTCGGATGATGGATTGAAGAATTTATCAATAAATCTTAGTTCTTCATCTTCTTTCATATTAAAAAACCTAATAATTTCTTTAAAATGGTCATATATTTTCGTGCTGCACGCCTTTATCCAACGGATGGCCGAATCTTGCGTCTTCCATTGTGCCTTAATTCTCAGTTTTAGTGGTGATGTTGTAGATGGCAAGTATAAAGCAACCTCACGTACGTATTTCCACGAGTTAACGAACAAAACATATTTGATAACCTTCATGAAAATACCGTGACACTCAGCAATGTCATTGGTCAGTGCATCAAAAGATTCGATTTTACCACTTCCGGAGCAGGTATCTGTTATTAGACGAATTGTACCTTCTTGTTCCGTTTTGTCAGTGATTTCTGCGAAGTCCGTTAATAATTGGTGTAAGACACGGTAGTCATGAAGTTCACGATTCAAACGCAAATGATTAAACGTGAAATATGATCTACAATTATCGATGGTCACATTGTTATGTATTTGAGTTATTTGACTGTAGGTTATGGTCTTAAGATCGACCAAAGCGTTTTTGATTACCTCGTGCGATAAAATTGGATGAGCATGGATTGCTTTCAGCGATTCAGAATAAAAAGAACCAGCGCATTGGTCGTTAAACTCGTTATTACCTTTGTCATCGTTGTTATCTTTAATAGTGCAGTGTCGTTCAGTGAATTGTGTAAGTCGTACGTAAACGATATCGTGATCGAGCAATAAACGGGATCGTTTATCGTCATCGTTTAGTAAATTATGGTTTTTAATGAGTGAGTTTAAATTGCTCGAATACATGTACATACGCCATAATTGATCCATAGAATCTATCTTACCGAAATTGTATAGAACGTTTAACATATTGACCACTTGGCGTTCGAAAAACGATACAGGTTCGTTCTCCTCGTTGACAAGTACATTTAACGCATCCTTACCTTCTGTGTTCAGCAAAGGCCTGATCAAATTCATATAATGACTGCAATGGAACACAAAACTACACAGGAGATTTTCGTAAACATCATCTATCCGTGTTGAAATTTTCTTCAGATCTTTATGTCTTTTCATTAATAGATTGTAAGAGTATCCCGTATTTAAGTTTATTAACTTTTTATAGTGACTATCCGATTTGGTCTCGGCATATTTTTGACGGACACACGAATCGCTGTATGGCCAAAACCCCGCTGTTACTACAATCAGCAACACTAATGGCCAAGAGAACAACATGACTTTGTTTAGTTTTTAAATAATTTAGTATTACACGCAAAATATGAAAAAAATAACTGTTTAATTGCAAGTCAATCGGCAATCGTGGTTTTTGCAGTATTGAGTTCTGTATTTTTGTTTTTTAGCCGTACGAAAAATAGCCCCGTATCAAATGATTTTCGTACAATATATTGCTATCGTATATATTTTAAAATTTGTGCAAATAATTTTGTTTTCGTCAATGCCACTATGAAAAACATAGCATTATTGTAAAATTACAACCAAGGGAAAGAGACACAGTGAAAATGTGTTGGTATGAAGTAGGTTACTATCAAGTAGGTAGTATTAATGGAGTGAGTGATATCTCTACAGGACCGGAGCTTTGGCAACAGCCCTATCGGATGTTGACCGATATGAGCTGGCAATAACAGCGATTCAAGAAGTGAGATGGACGGGTACATGAAACATTAAAACAGAAAAACAAGTCCCCACCCTTATTGTACTGACTTATTGCTTTATGCATATTAAGAAATTAATACAACATATCATCTCAAAAACTAAATGTCTTATTAAAAAGCTAAAAATAAGAAGTATGTTGATATATGAATGACTGTTTGCTATTCGTACAAAAGCTAACGATTTAATATTTATACATCTTAATTGCTGATCGTATCGTGCTGGCTGTTTTTATAGCGAAAAATATGTTTAAAAAAATTGTCTTGATTGTTTTTAGGAAAAAAATTTGAAATTTTATGTCGCATAGAATAATTTCGTAATAGTCGGCTCTTCGCCTCTTCCATGGTGATAGTACGCTATTCGTTTTGTATATACTGACAACCGTTTCCGTTGTTTCATTCGTATAAGAAAAATATTATTTTTTAATTATTTTTCCACTTTTTTCTGTGATTTTTATACCCCTGATGGAAATGGAAATGTTATGATTAATTTTGTTGTTCACTATTCTCAGTATTTTAATATTACAAGTAACTGTAAATTAAAAATTACGATATCACTCGATGATATTTATTCTCTGTATGATAATGTATAAGTATATTATATTGGATCACTAACAATAATTATAATGATACGTTTACTATTCAATAAGTGTTGAGGTAGCCTAAAAACAGGGATTGATTTGTCCATAATGCATACTTATAATTATTATAAATGATCAGAACTAAAAAGGTTCAACTAATGATTATTTTTTTTTATACATCTGACAATTTTGTTCACCGGTTAAGTTGCATAAAAATCTCTAATCTAATAAAACATGAGTATTTAAAGGACCCTAAAATTAAAGAAATTCGTTTCAAATTAATAATGACGGTATTTCTTTTTTATTTCTTAAAAGTCTTCTCAATGTTGGAGTATATTGTACACTTTATATTATAGTAGGTAAGATTTCTGCTCCAATTATTGTTTAGAAATGTATCATTGATAACATATGAAACATTTATGGCGGGCTGCGAATGCATAAACGTTCAGTAAAGATTTAATGAACCAATATATATTCAGTGGCATTAAAACACAATTTAGTTGCCTGTGATTGGTCTATTAATATTTAATAAACCATTAAAATAATTAACTTTTAATGCAACTTGGCATCCTACTTTTAAAATTTAAATAATATAAATAATAGCTCTATAATTGTCAGTTAAAGGATTCTCAAGAATACTTGAGTAACCATGTGTAACCATAGCGTTTACCAATTGACAGTTTCTTTTTGTATATAACACAATAATGAGGCAATTGTTAATATGACTAAGATTCAACTTTAAACATCTCTGTTGCTATAATAGGTGAAAATTCAATATTTGTTTTTGATTCAGAATTTTAAAAAAACAATTTTATTGTCTCTTTTTATTTATTTTTTGTACACATTGATAAAGTAAACTGTAAAAATTTTACTCATGTTGGTTGTTCAAATTCTGATGTAAACATTTAATTAATATAAAAAAAAAACGTTAATAGCTATTACCTAATTATATTATACTTAGTTGCGGTTGATACTAAAGTGGCAAAATATTATATATTTATGTTGTGTTGATATGCATTAAGTCGAACCAAAAAATATAAATTAATTATGAAGTTTTAAAAAATCAAAACAATATGTATAAGTCCTTAATATTTTCAAAAAAAAGAGTACAG